CAACCCAGTGGGCTTCCTGGGCATAGCTTACATAAGGGCAAAGCCTCTGGAATGGAAGCAGGCTTGGTGAGGCCAAGGAGGCCAACGTGGCTGGAGCAGAATGAGGGAAGAGAGAGCAGTGCGGTCAGTGTGGTAGCGACCTATAGCCCGAGGTAAGGACTTGGAATGTGAAATCCTTTTGTTTCTCCTTAGTAACCGCCTCTGACCTTGAACCACCAATTCCTTTAAATTTCTTTTCTAAATTTTAAAACTTCAAAAAATCTGTATTTAAAAATCCACAGGCTACAATTGCTCCACACGCAAATGATGAACAGTATAGATTTCATTTTGTTGCGGTGAAGACAGGCTGAACCCGAGGCGGGTGACTACATTTTCCTATGTAGTTACGAAGAATACCAGATCAATGAATTTGTGCATTCCCCCACAACTTCTCGGTCTCCACATTCACTGTTAACTCCTCATGTTTGTTCAAGCCAAGAACAAACAAAAATGAAACGAAATCCAAGAGCACAGCTGAAGACAAACGTGTCCCAGGTTTGACTGACCAAGCGCAGGATGACTCACTTCCTGGCACCACCGCTGTCGCACGGTCAGACCTCAGAAACCCCAATGTCTTGGGACATCTCTGATCCCCAGACGGCAAGGACTGCCCTTTTTCATCCACTGTTGTATCCTCGATGCCTAGACCAATTCCTGGCCCATCACTGGCCTTGAGTTGATGTTCGCTGAACTTCACTGGCTGCATCAGGCAGAGCACCAAGCTCCTGCACATTTCCTCTAGTGCTCCGAGACCTTCGCTCAGCATCTGTCCCGTTCGTGCAGTGCGTCTGGTTCCTAAAACCAGACCAAAAAAGAGCAACTAACTAGCTGGGTACGTTGACAGTGCTGAGAGCTCAGACTGGGCAGGTTGCCAGGGTTTCCCCAAAAGGAGAAAGGCCGTAAGTATTTACAATAACAAAACCAAAAGGTGACCCGAGGATACTGCTGCTTTAATCATCAGGGAAATTTCAGTCATGCTTAATGGACTTTCCCAAAAGACAGTGGAGAAGACTTCTGAAAGCAGAAAGATACTCAGGTTTCAATTTTTGGAAGTTCGGCAAAGCAACAGCTGCATATAATTAGGTTTGTTCCTCATACCAAATTTCCCTCTCTTCCCCACTGGACCTCTCCCCTCTAGGAGTGATGCTTAGGCGAAGTTTGCATAAAGTAGTAAGGTTGGTGCGTGCACACTTTTCAGCCACTAGCAATTTGCTTGAACTCACAAATATGGTGTAAGTCAATTGAATTCAAGAATTAATTAAAACCTTAAATGGAATCACAGCTAGAACATGCTCTCTAACGGGCCGATATCACCAGCAAGGGGGTGAAAATTGGTTCTTAGGAGGGCAAAAACACGGTTTTCGTATGTAAAGCCCAGGTGTACGTGCCGTGAATACCAGGCGACCTGGCACTGAGATTTCATGGAGGGGAGTGACGAGGACAGAAAAGGCTGGGAGACACTGGCTGGACCATAAGGCAGAGACCCAGCTCCTGCCCTCATGGAGCCTGCACCCCAACAAGGGAAACTGATGCACATCGGAGCCATGCATGGTCTGGTCCTCACCACCTCTGAGCTTCAAGCCCCATCACACATCTTACTCTGCACTCCGGTCTCTTGGACCGTTTCAGTCCAATCCTCCCCAATTATTCACGGCCCCTTCCCTTGAGAGGATTTTACTTTCTGTCCCGCCGATGTCAGCCCTGGCCATAAACTGACTTCTTTGGCTGGTGAAATGTGAGTGGAGGGGATATGTGTCATCCCAAAGCAAGAGCTTTGAGCATCATCTTGTGGTTTGCCCCTCGTTCCTCTGCCATGAGCCCAGCATGTCCCCGATAGGCGCTGCTCTTTCAGCCTAGGTCCTGGAATGATGACATGGAGCACAGTCAGACGTGGAGTGTGTCCACAGGGGACATGTAGCTTAAATGAGCAGTAAGTCTTTGCTTCTGTAGGACCCTGAGACTTGGGAAGTTGGTTGTTGGGGAACATAACCTAGTGATTGCTGACATGTACCCACCAATGCACCATGCCTCCTCTCCGCCTCCAGACCTCCCCTCTGCTTACGACACTTGCCTTCTTACCCCCTGTCCCTCCTGCCGTCAGTTTAAATGCCACTTTATCTACGAAGTCTAAACACCTCCCTGGGCGCCTGGGTGGCTCAGTTGGTTAAGCGACTGCCTTCGGCTCAGGTCATGATCCTGGAGTCCAGGATCGAGTCCCGCATCGGGCTCCCTGCTCGGCGGGGAGTCTGCTTCTCCCTCTCCCGCTCCCCCATCTTGTGCTCTCTCTTTCTCACTCCCTCTCTCAAATAAATAAAATCTTTAAAAAAAATAAAAATTAAAAAAAAGAAACACCTCCCTCCCTCTCCAACCCAAAGAAGAAAAGAGATGGATGCTGGGTGCCTATAGTGGGCAGGATAATGGCCCCCCAAAGATGTCCATGTCCTAATCCCTGGAACTTGTGAATACGTTACGGTAAAAGGGACACTGCAGACTCAAGTAGGTTAAGGATCGTGACACGGGGATTATCCTAAATTATGCAGCAATCTTACATCGGTCCTTAGAAGATGGAGGAGAAGGCAGAAGAGTCGGAAGGAGATGTGGTGGCAGAAGCAGAAGTCAGAGGGGTTCAGTTGCTGGCTTTGCAGATGGGGAAGGGGCCGTGAGCTGAGGAACGCAAGCGACCTCTCCAAGCCGGAGAAGCAAGGAAATGGAGTCTCCCCTTGAGCCTGCACAGAGCAACGCAGCTCTGCCAAGGCCTTGATATTAGCCCAGTGAGACCCCTTTCAGACTCCTGACCTCCAGAACTGTAAAAAGTCATTTGTATGTTTTAAGCCACTACGTTTGTGGTCATTTGTCACAGTGGCAACAGACATCCATGGTGTCCCCCCAGTTACGAGCTCCCGTAGCACACCGCAGGCCCCACTCATCACACTGTGCAGAACGGAGCTGCCTCTTCACTTTCCGTCGCTCCAGCTGGACAACAGTGATGTGTGACAACGAAGAAATACAAAGCTAAGAATTGGAAGCTGCTACTTTCCGGCTTGCTTACCTGGCTGTGGCCAAGCCACTAAACAACTCTGACTTCAGTTCCCACATCTTTAAGAATGGAGACACGGGAAGGAATCATACGGAATTTCCCCATAGGTAAAAAGAGCATTTCCTAAGTTGAAGATGTATTCAAATGTTAGTTTTTTTGGTTGGGTGGTGTGTTTATTTTAAAGTTGGGATGGACTGAGAAAGTGGGAAACAACCCTGCCGACAACCAGTTGACCATGTTTCCTAGAGCAAGATGGTGACAAGGCCATTCTTGGGAGCCCAAAAATGACTAAACCTCCCCTCTTCGACAAGCACTGTTCCTCTTTGAGCCATTGCTGCTCTGAGCAGTTGGCTATCTGATAGAAGGTCCTCCATATTCAATTCTCTCATTCTGCCTGCAAGCAAATGAGTTCGGAGACCTGTCAAGGTCCTCCCAAGTAGTTACAAACATGAGATCAAATAGAATCTTTTGCTTGTTTGTTTTCATACAGCCATGGGGTTAAACTCTTTGGTCACTGAACATGTCCCCTTACCAAATCTGTCTGGTATCGAGTCTTCCATTTCCCATCTTGGCTAGAACCTTCCAAGAGCTTTTAGTCGCTGGAGAAAACCTGCCATATTTTTTCAAATAACACTTAGTCCTGCGGCAAAGCCAGATATGTTCTGATGAGAGTTAATTGTTCTTTATCAGCATGAAAGGAAGCAGGTGTGTGTTCCCTGCTGCCATCTGATTTATTTCTCCGAGCTCCAGGAGCAGACACTCCATCAGCCACGCAAGCAGGAAATTGCCTTTCTGCAAAAGGTAAACAAAGAGGGTTTGTGTTATTTTTAACTGTAAAATTGGACCTAAAAACCATTCAAATCACTTGGGCTTTTTCCCCGGATCATTAGAATAATATTCCTTTAATGGTGAGAAACAGAAAACTATAAAGAAGAAAATATCATTTATCCATAGGCCCATCACTCCAAACTAATAAGTCTTCACATTTTGGCCTGTTTCCTTCCAGTCTTTCCTCCCACCCCTTGTGTATATGCAGAAAGATCCAGAAGTGGAGAAAGAGTGGGTATAGTTGAAATCATTGTTTTCAATGAATCCATGCTCATTGCAAAAACTCCAAGCACCAATGTATACAGAAGATTCTGGTGTCCTTTCAGCACCTCCCCATCCAGCCCCTTTCCAGTGACAACCACTGTGAAATTAGGAAGAAATGGGTTAATACACATGATGCTTTAGTACTCATAAATAGTAAATAACTGTTTAATGGTGTGCGGCACTTAAGTTAAGTGGATTCTCCTCACCCCCTTTGTGGCAGACAAACCCTAAGCTTATCTCCAGTGATTTCTCACCTCCTGCTGCCTATGGTTTTGGGTAATTCTTTCCTCACAAGTGCATGTGGGACTCATGACTTGCTTCTAACCAATAGAATATGGCAAAGGTGATGGGATGTCACCCTCTTGATATTACATGGCAAAGGTGATAGGATGTCAGCCTTGTGATTATATTACATTATATAAGAGTCTGTCTTAGCAGACTGCATTCGCCTTGTTGGTGATGAAATGAGTGGCTGTGGCTGTTGAGGAAGCCCACAAGTGACTGTGGGCAATGTCCAGCCAACAGCCAGCAAAAACCCGGGGCCCCAGTCGTACAACCTCAAGGAAATGAATTCTGACAACAAGCTGAAGGAGATTGGAAGTACATTCTTCCCCCAGGCAAGTCTCCAGATGAGACCATAACCTTGGCCAACATCTCAACTGTAGCTTTGTAAGACCCAGAAGAGAGCACCCCACTGAACTGTGCCCAGACTCCTAACCCACAGCAATTGTGAGACAATGAGCGTGTGTTGTTTCAAGCCACTAGACTTGTGGTAATTGGTTATATTGAGATAGAAAGCTAGTACACTTTTCTATGCATTTCCATACTGTAGTGGTCGGGACTCCTTGGGTTCAAGCAACAGACACCAGCTCTAACTGGTATAAGCAACAAGGAAATCGACAGGTTCACCTAACTTCAGGCACGTTTAAATCCAGGTATTCTGACACTGTAAACTGGTATCTTTTTCCTTCCTTCTTAGTTCTTCTTCAGTGTCAGCTTGATTCACAGGAAGCTACTCCCCAAACAAAGATGACAACACATCCCATCAGCTGGACAACCTCTATGAAAAAGAGTACTCCTTTTACCATATAGGTCCAGCAAAAGCCCTGGGGTTGATGTCCATTGGCTCTGGTTGGACTAACTGAAGACGTGCCCACCTATCCCCAGGGACAGATGGATGTGGTTCATAGGCCCTCATCCAAACCTCATGAACCAAGAGAGGGAGGGGTGAGCTCCAAAAATAAATAAGGGTGCTGCTAGTTGAAGCAGGTGGAATGGAAGCTGAATGATAAAAGTAACGACCGTTCACCGTGGGTACCTGCCTACTTGTATATGTACATGTCTATGCAACTTTATATAATACTTTGATGTCCCAACGGTTCTAACAATATTGTCATAAATACCTGCCATGCAATTTTTGCCAATGTTGCTAAAAATCAGCACAGAAAATATTAAACTCACAGGTAAATTGAAGAAGTAACACAATGAATATCCACATGCCCTTCACCAAGATCCCCTCATTGTTAACACTTTGTCCCACCTGTTATCTGGTTTTGTTCTGAATGACAAAGTAAATTGCAGACCTCATGACGCTTCATCCCGGGATATCTCAGCTGGGATCCAGGAAGAAAGTGTCCTATTTAACAATACCATTAACACATCCAAGAAACTTAACACTGTGCAAAGATATTCCCTAATATCCAGTTCCTGTTCACATTTTTCTGAGTCCAGAAAATGTTCTTTGTAAGCTCTTTTGTAAGTTTTTTTCTGATCCAGGATCCAATCCAAGATTGCACCAGATTAACCTATCTCTTCAATCCCTTTAATCTAAAACAGCTCTCCCCTCCCCTTCATTTGTCCTTTGTGCACTGATTACATATATATATATATTTTGTTTTTGGTGCACTGATATTTTGAAGAGTATGGGCCAGTTACCTTTAATATGGATCTGTCTATTTCCTCATGATTGGATTCAGGTTTAATATTTTGGGGAAGAATACTACATAGGTGGTGTTATGTCATTCAGGAGGCACGCCATGTTGGTGATGCTATATTTGATCACTTGGTTAAAACGGTTCCTCTCCATCATAAAGACATATTTCCCCTCTTTTTTGGTAATAAATGTTTTCTGAGGTGGTACCTTGAGACCATGGAAATGTCCTATTCCCCAACAGTGGTTTTTAAACATACTGACAATCCTAGTCTGAATTTTTATATTGGTAATTGCAAAATGGTGATTTTTCTCAATCTGTCATCCTTTTTCTACCATTGTTAGCTGGCCATTTTATTTCCCTCCACTTCTCTTTTTTAATTTGATCACTATATACTTATGGATTCTTTTTGTTTTTCATTCAGTGTGATAAAATCCACTCTCATCACTATACCTGTTGGTATTTAAATTGTCCCAGACTTGGCTGGCGGGAGCCCCTTTCAGCCAGCTCCCATGTCCTGTCCACCTGTCCCCATTCATTTTGGAACACTTCTTTGCTTTGTGACACACCAAGATATGCCAGTCTAACCTGGAACTTTCCCTGCCCTGGATCTGGAATCAGCCATTTCTGCAAAAATCCCCTTGGTTCTTTTCAATGGATAGGATTTAGAAACAACAATCTCAACATTAGGATCTTCCATAACAATTTTTTAAATTGCTAACCACCATTTTAAATTGCTTCATTATATTTCCACTGTGTGGTTGGACTACAACTTAATCATTCTATTCATTCAGGGTGTTTTGGAGAGAAAGAATCCTTTCACCACTCAAAATAACAGTGATGGAAAGCTCTGTGTGTGTGTATATATTTGAGTTGAGAATGAGTGGCTGAGAATATATCCTAGCATGGAATTAACTAGGTAAAAGGGTAGAGACACTTTTCAGACTCTCTCTGCAAATTGGCTGATTGCTCTCCAGAGAGTGTCAGCTTACCCACCCACCAGAAGAGAATCCAATTCCTGGTGCACGCTCACCAGCAGTGTTAGAATAAAAAAGACAGATGGGGTACCTGGGTGGCTCAGTCAGTTAAGCATCTGCCTTCGGCTCAGGTCATGATCCCAGGGTCCTGGGATCAAACCCCGCATCATGCTCTACACTAAGTGCTGAGTCTGCTTGTCCCTCTCCCTCTGCTCTTCCTCTCTCTCTATTTCAAATAAAAACAAATCTTTAAAAAAAAAAAAAGGAGAGAGAACAGTTCTAGAAGTCCAACAGAGAGCACGGTATCTCATTGGTTGAGCATTTGTTTCTTTGATTATTGGTCGGGTTGAGTATAGTCAGAAAGAACATTTTTCATATTTATTATTTGAATGTGTTCTATAAAACCAGGTCATGTTAGCAGGAAGACTCAGCAAAAGAGCAACCAAGTGAAAGCTATTGATGTTCTTGTCATGTTGCAAAAGGCAGGGCAGGGAATCACGAATCACTGGGCCCAGTTTTTACAATCAAAGTGGCTTTGAAGGAAAAGCGACAAGCTAGTGAGGTGTGGCTCTAAAGGAAGAAGGCTGAGGACACCGCGACAGTCCCCAGGCGCCATGCCCCATGCTAAGGGAGAGATGTGAATATCATTTAGTCCTTATAACCGCCCAACAGGTAGGCACCATTGGTGGAGAGGACAAGTAACCTGACCAAGGTCGCACGGCCGCGAGTAATGGAGCCGGGACAGGAACCAGGCAGTCGGGGCTCAGGGCCACCCCGTTACCCACCATTCCATTGCCTTCCCGCCATGACACCGGGAACGTGAGGCCTGGGTGTGCGTCACACTCTCTACTTTAGGTTTCAGCTACTTCAGCTTTTTGTTTTATTTATTTATTTTTTAAGATTTTATTTATTTGAGAGAGAGAGAGCATGTGAGAGAGAAAGACAGGGAGAACACACGAACAGAGGGAGGGGAAGAGGAAGAGGGAGAGGGAGAAGCAGGCTTCCCGCCGAGCAGGGAGCCCGATGCGGGGCTCGATCCCAGGACCCTGGGATCATGACCTGAGCCGAAGGCAGACGCTTCACCGACTGAGCCACCCAGGCGCCCCAGCTTTTTGTTTTCTTAACAAACGAATGTGGGACTAAGATGAAACAATGCTTGGGATTCCTTTGGAGAAAGAAAAAACACGACACAAGTTCAAAGTTAGAATAAAAAATATGATTACGACCATTCCTCCAACCATTCCTCCAGCGAGTCGTGGAAATGTTTGAGCTTGCAACTCAGACCTGGCTCTGCCAATTGCCGGGCAAGTCATCGGGACTCTCTGAGCCTCTGTCTCCTCATCCATCAAGTGCAGCCCCAGCTTCCACAGCGACTGCAGGGAGTAGATGAGTGTGCAACGGTGTCTGGTTCTGCCTGGCATATGGCCAGCACTGGATAACTGCAAGCTCCCTTCCTCAGTATCTCTGCCTGTTCCCTGGGAAAATCCCGGAGGTCTGGAAGGAAGACTTGGAGCAGCTTTGCCAGGCCACCTGATGGGAAGAGGGCATCTCTGCAAGCTCTCTTTCCCTGCTCATCCTATGTGGATTGCTCTTTCCTGCCAAGGCTTAATTAAATCCTGGAGCAGCAAGCACAGATAATAAACGGTGAGGCCCGTTAGGCGTGGCTTTGGTTAATGTCTATGACTGTGGAAGATTCTAGTCACAGGCAATTAGTATTAACGTGTAATTAGGATGCTCAGTTGGCAGGAAGTGGGTGAGCAGCTTGCCTGTTCGGGCAGCAGATGGAGGGCTGGGGCTTGCCCAGGCGTAGTGCCAGACAGGGACAGGAGTCCTGCGAGGGGTTGTGGCCCAGCCGCCCTGAGCACGTGGAGGCCACATGGCAGCTCGAGCCCTGAGCGGCTCTGCCTTTAGATGGCAACTTTCAGCTCAGGGAGTCAACATCAGAAGCCTGGATGGGGCATATTTCAACTCTGAATTACAATAAAATGGAAAAGCAGATTATTAAAATTGTTACATTGTATTTATTTAAGTTCTAAATAGGTAATACATTCATGTGGTTCTACCTTCAAAACGCATGAAAAGACAAACTGGAAGTTTTCCTTCCCCCCCCACCCCCTGACTCCCATCTGCTGAGTCCCCCACCTGTCCCCACCCAAGGGTAGACAAGGAACTGCTGTCACCAGTTTTTGTGGGGCCTTTCCAGAAGTTGAGTTCTGCACATGCAAGCAAATCCAAATATGCACTCTGTCGTCTCCCACTTTAAAAAAAAAAACAAAAAACAGGGCGCCTGGGTGGCTCAGATTGTTAAGCATCTGCCTTCGGCTCAGGTCATGATCCCGGGGTCCTGGGATCGAGTCCCACATCTGGCTCCTTGCTCAGCAGGAAGCCGGCTTCTCCCTCTCCCACTCCCCCTGCTTGTGTTCCCTCTCTCGCTGTCTGTCTCTCTGTCAAATAAATAAATAAAATCTTTAAAAAAAAACAAAAAACAAAAAACACAAATGTTAGCATATACATGTTGACCTTTAAACAACACGGGTTTGAATTGTGCGGGTCCACTTATACATGGATTTTTTTCGATAAATACAGTACTGCAAATGTGTTTTCTTTATTATTTTCTTAATAACATCTAGGTTACTTTATTATAAGAATACAGTATATAATACATGTAACATCCAAAATGTGTGTTAATTGTTCATTATCAGCAAGGCTTCTGGTCAACAGTAGGCTATTAGTAGTTAGGTTTTTGAGGAGTCAAAAGTCATACATGCATTCTTGACCGCATGGGGGGCGGGGTCAGCGTCCCTAATCCCCGTGTTGTTCAAGGGTCACGTGCACTGTTTTAATTCTTGCCTTTCGTTCCCCCCAAATAATAAAGTGTTTCTTTAGGGCACTGAAACTATTCTGGATCATCCTATCATGATGGAGGCATGTCATTTTACATTTGTCCAAACCACAGAGTGGACACCACCAAGAGTGAATCCTAATGTAAACTCTGGGCTTCGGGTGAGGATCCGCCAGTGTAGGTTCATCAACTGTAATCAGCACACCACTCTGCGGAGGTGTTGGCGGTGGGGGTGGCTGTGCGTGTGGGGGGAGGGCATCTGTGGGAAATCTCTGTATCTTTGGCTCAGTTTTGCTATGAACCTAAAATTGCTCTAAAAAATAAAGTCTAAAAAAATAATAAAAATAAAAAATAAGTCTAGGGCGCCTGGGTGGCTCAGTCAGTTAAGCGTCTGCCTTCAGCTCAGGTCACGATCCCAGGGTCCTGGGATCGAGCCCCTCATCGGGCTCCCTACTCAGCTGGGAGTCTGCTTCTCCCTCTACCTCTCCCCTCTGCTTGTGCCCTCTCTCTCTCAAATAAA